GCAGCGCAGGTCTGGTTGGAGCACTTATTTTGAGAAATAATGAAGATGTCGGACTTCTTTAAAAGAGAGTAGTGAATGATATGGAAAATATGACACTCACTACAGACACGGAGGTCCCTGCCTGCCAAGCTCCTCTGGCTTCACCTCTGCACGGGCAGAGCAGACAGAGGCCTTAGGGATGGGCACAGACAGGGGCGAACGGGGACCAGCCTGGGGTGATCTGGACAGAAGAGCCCCCAGGGCAGCAGGAGAGGGGCCCAGGCCCAAGGGCACCCACTCAATTCCATCAGGAGAAGGGAGTGATTGGCTGTTTGTTTACCTAGAACCTTTATTTCTGACCCAGAGCAGAGAAAAAGGAAGAAAAGGCTGGGGTCACAGTAGCTAGGGTAAACTTGGAAGCTGGAGATCTAGCGGGATCTGCGGGGCCGTGGGGGGCACGGCAGGGAGCGGGGACTGGGGGAGGGTGGCTCTGGGGGAAGGAGGGTAGCTGGGGGGGAAGGCGGGTGGCAGGCCCGGGAAAGAGGGGGGAAGGTGGCTGGGGGGGAAGGAGGGTAGCTGGGGGGGAAGGCGGGTGGCAGGCCCGGGAAAGAGGCAGGAGGGTGGCTGGGGAGCTGGGGGGTTGGGGGAGGTCGGCTGGGAGAGTTGGGGGCCTCCCCACTCTGGCAGCGCTGCCGACCCTCTGTCCCGAACGACCCCGCCCACGTCGGTGCCCCGGACGCGCCCTCCCCCCGGGTCCCCGCCGCGAGCGCTGGGAGGAACCATGTCCGAGCCCAGGACGTCCCGCACCAAAGCCCGCCCGGCCGCAGGCGCCTCTGCCCGGGGGGCGCCGGGGACTCCTGGGGTGCCGGGGGAGCGACGAGGACGCAGAGGAGGCCTGGGAGCCCCCAAACCCCGACCCAGCTCCGCGCCCCCCGCACAGCTGGACCAGCCGCGCCCCCCGCGCCCTCCCGGCCGGACCCACCTGGGGCGGCCGCGGCGACGCCCTCGTCGCGCTGGTTAAACTCGAAGAGGAACTCGAAGTCGAACTCCTGATCCTCCAGCCCCGTCATGGCGGGGCCGGGGCCGGGTGGAGGTCGCCGCGGCCCGGGGTTCGGGGCTCGGGGCTCAGCGCTCCCGGAGCTGGCCGCGCGTCCTCCGCGTAACGTGACCCCCGCCCCTCCCCCGTTCCCGCCCCGCCCCCGCCCCCCCCGGGGCGTTTCCGGGTTTACATAAACAACCGGCTCGCGGCCGCCGGCTTCCGAGTTTTAAATAAACTCCCCGGGAGGCGTGCCGGCCGGGTGCTCGCGTCCCTCCCGCGCCCCCCGGCTCCTCGCGCGCGCCCGCGCGCGCGCGATCCCTGGGGTCCCCCGGCCTCTTGCGCTCTGGGGGTCCCAGCCCGACGCAGGCTCCTCCCGACACAGGGTGGGGGCGTCGGGACCCCGGGCCACTCTGGCCTGGCCAGCTCCGCCCCAAGGGGGGGCAGGACCCAGAACCCCGCGGTTCCGCCCCCGGGGCACAGGCGGCACCAGGCTCACGTGGCTGCGCCCTGGGAGACTGAATTTGTTTAAAAGTTGTTTTGTTTTTTTTTAAGTTTGGAATCGGGCCTCCTCGGGAAAGTGGTGGCCCCAGTGGCCCCCGAGCGCCACTTGCGCGCCCCGCGGAATCCCGGGAATGGGGGGACGACCCAGCCCGAGGTCGCCAACGCTGGGAACTCCGATTTCAGCCCGACGGCGCCGGGAAGCGCAGGGTTTCCCGTGGGGTGCGTGGCGCGCGCCTCGGCCTGCAAACCCCTGCGGGTCCCCGGCCTCAAAACACCCGCCCTGCGCGCTCCCGCGCCAAGGGGAACCTGTCGTTCCTTCTAGGGGCACCTCCAAAGACGACCTCCTTGAGCGGGGCAGGAAGGCGGGTTCGGGTCGCACCCCAGGCGGCCCGAAGCTTGTGCGCGGCGGGGTGCGGGAAGGCCGGGCTGCTGCCGCTCCGCCTCGTGTTCTAACTCCCCCAGGGTCTGGGCACCACGTAAACCCGACGTCTGGAACAGCAGGAGGATGGTGGGAGGATGTGGGCGGGGGGAGCGTTTGGCCCGGAGAGAGGGGTGCGGGTGTCAAGCCTGGCCACCCTAATACTCATCAGAGCGCTGAGTCGGGCCTGGCCTGCCCCGCCGCACTGCCTTTTCCAGAGGCCAGAAACCCGCCGCGACCCTTTCAATGGATGGGTTCTCCAGTGACAAACCGTAGTTCGGTGTGGCCTGATTTAGTTTCTAATAATAGTCCTCACTTTGGATGGATGTTGGAGGGTTGTTTCGCTTTAGTTTGCTGTTTTTGCTGACCTTGGGCAAGTGGAAGTTCTGTTTTCTGTCGAGAAGCCACGTTGTTTCATTTTCTCCCTTTTCAGTACAGTTTTGTTTGAGAGGGAGTCTCACTGTCGACCAGGCTGGAGGCAGTGGTGCGATCTCGGCTCACTGCAACCTCCGACTCCCGCATTCAAGCGATTCTCCTGCCCCAATCCCCGAGTAGCTGGGATTACAGGCACCCACCACCAGCCTGGCTAAGTTTTGTATTTTTAGCAGAGACGGGTTTTCACCATGTTGGCCAGGCTGGTCTTGATTAATTGACCTTGTGATCCACCTGCCTCGGCCTCCCAAAGTGCTGGGATTACAGGCGGGAGCCACAGCACCTGGCCTGTACTTCTTCTTTTTTTTTTTTTTTTTTTTAACTCTAGCCACCTTTTTACTCCCACCAAAAAATTATACACAAATGACAGCCCTGATCATCTGTTTAGAGTGACACTTTTTGCTAAACTGTCCCGCCTGCTGGTGGCCCCGAGGGTTGTGGGCCCTGCAGGGATGGAGGCTCACCGGGCTGGGCTGTCCTAGGGCTGCACTGGTCTCCACCCCAGAGGAGGGAGTCGGTGGGGCCGCTGCCCTCCCCCGCTCCCCAGTGCGGGCTTTCCAAATGCTTCAGAGCTATTGGTCTATATTCAAAGTTGCCCGTTTCTCAGACACTGGGTGCCTCCACGGAAGTGTTTAGCTTGGATGCGTCCTCCCAGAGGCTGGGGATGTCTGCGGAGGCAGAGACCCGCTGGGGGTGATGAATCGGGGTGCCAGCGCCATGCCACTTTCTAATCTGGGCTGGGAAACAACACCGTGAAGTGGCAGAGAACAGGGTGAGCTTTGTTTGCCCCAGTCCGTGGGGCATTCTGTCTGGATGGCTGGGTGGCTACCTACAGGCCTGCACCTCTGCATTCTCCGTGAGGAATCAAGCCTGGGCCTTCAGGAACCGCGGTGCCTAATGAGCTTCCACCCAGATGGGCCCGAAACCGAGGGACTCGGGGGAGGCACCCAGGTCCTCAGATGGGCCGAGGACGGCCTCGTGGGGCCTACTCAGAAGGACCCAGAGCTTTCCTGGTGGCCTCCGCGATGGCCGTGTTGAAGCCACGCGTGCCCCATGCGGGCCTAAGTCAAGGACTGGATCACACTTTCCTGCCGGCTCAGTCTGCAGCCCTCATCAAATACCCCAATGTCGGGTAGGGGCTCACTGCCCGAGCGCACTGCCTGGCGGCGGGGCCTTTGCCAGCTGCTTTTCTTCAATTGGAAACACGAAAAACAGCCACTATCCCCGCTGTTTATTTCATAGGTTAAAAGGGCTCCTAAGTACAGGTCGGGCACCGGCTCTTCAGGTACCTAGATCTGAACTCAGAAGACCTGCCTTTCTAAAGGGAGTGGGCATGAAGGCCGGGAATTACAGGATTGAAAACCGAAACTCCAACAAGAAACATTTTAAAACTCTGTTACTAGCAAGATCACATTGTGTAAACATCGACACCGGCCATGATGTTTAAACATGCGAACTTCTAACGCCGGGATGAAATGGCGAGAAGCCTGAGCAGCTCCCGCCCCGTGAGGCTCAGGGCACTGACCACTCGGATCCCCTCCTTGGAGCTCATGGCCCAGCGCTCAACTCTGCTGGGACCAGCGAGTTCTCCGGAGCTGCGGAGCCCGGCTCTCCAGCAAGCCCCGCAGTGATTAGCGTCGCGCAGGAAGCGGCAGCGCTCGGAGGGACGTCGGCCCTTATGGAATGCACAGGTTGGCAGGTGTGCCGGTGCTCTTTAAGCAAATCACATAAAATATTTTAGAGCTGGTGAGGAATCTGGAAACGCCTCTCCCAATTTCCATTAGCATTTGCACCCCCAATCCCTCACTAGGACGCTCACACCTCTCCCGGGAGCCCACCCGACCTCCCCAGGGGTGTGTGGAGGGGACGGATTAAAGGAGGGGGCTGGAACGTGAGACTGCGCTGCAGGGGGGCCTCAGCGCCCCCGACACCCGGTTTCAGGGACCCAAATGGTGCCGCCTTTTTTCTTTTCACTATAAAGAAGCAGCTTGAAGCTTGGCGGTCCCTTTTCAAACTTGCCTGGAGCATCTTCTCTGGCTGGAACTCCTGCGCATAACGTTTCAAAATGTCTTAAATTCGGGGGTGTGCTGCGGCCGCGCTTTGGGTCCTGCAGGTTCAGGCGCCGGCGTGACGGGCTCGGCCCTGGGGCGCTCGGGAGCGCAGCTCGGGGAAGAGGCGGCCCCGAGCTCAGGGTGGGGGTGGGAAGGTACTGAACCCCAAACCGCGCTCTTGGTGCCAAAGGGTGGGCCTGCCTCGCTCCGTAGGACACAGGGCATCCTTCACTCCCAAGGAAGCCTCCCTTCCTCCCACGTGTCCTCTGCGGTCCCGCCAGCCCCAGCCTCACCCGTCCCCAAATCGCCGGCCTGGGAGCCGTTCTTCAGCGGGACACGCTGCGGCCCCGGCCCGGCTCACGCCCTCAGCACTGGGGCAGAGGAGACACCTATTGGCAAGAAGGCGCGCTCGGAACCGGGTGCGGGGAGCTGGCGGACGCTGTTCCCGGTCCGCGCCGCGCCCTTCCCTGGGCTCACAGACCCGGTAGGCCTCGCCCAGGGGCCGGGACCCCTCCGTGCGGGCGGCGGGAGCGGGGCGGGGGACGAGGGGTTCGGGGAGCGGCGAGCGCGCGGGGCTTACCTTCCTCCGCCGACTTCATGGTGCGCGGCGCAGGCCCCAAAGTTTCTCCGCTCCCGAAGACCGCAGCCGCAGGGCCGAGTGGAAACTTGGAAGGGACTGGAAAACTGGTGCTTGGCATCCGCGCGGCGGCGGCGGGGAGCGGAGCGGCGGGCGGAGGCACGGGAGGAGCGGGCTCCCCGAGCCGCCGGGGTCGGGTCTCTGGGAAAGGCAGCCCTGGCCTCGGACTCAGCGCCGCGCGCCCGGGAGGAAAGTCATCAGGGGGCGTGTGAGCGCGTGGCAGGGCCCGGCCGGGGCCCTGGGACCTGCGAGGTGGCTCCGAGCCCTGTGCCCGCCGCCCTGGTGCCCGCGCCCGGCCGCTGGGATCTGGCGCGGCGACTCCGCGGGCGAGTTCGGAGCCTCTGAGTCTCGCTCTGACGCAGGGCCGCGCTCTGCCTCCTGCCTTTTTAAAGCTGGAAAACACCTCCCCCGCCTCCCCGCCAGCCCGGCGGCTCCCGCGCCCCCTCCCTGCCGTGACATCACGCCGCTGCTGCCCCGGCCCGCGCTGGGCCCCAGGGACGAGTCTCGGAGCGCCCGCCCCTTCTCCCCGAGCCGCGGCAGCCGCCCGCCTAGGGGCAGGGACGCACGGGGAGGGTCGCACGCGGGATGGGGGCGCTCGGGAGGGGACGGGGGCGCACGGAAGGGGAGCGCTTGGGAGGGGACGCGGGTGCACGAAGAAGGGCGCGCACTGGAGGGGTACGTTGGGTCCCTTCGGGAGGGGACGGGGGTGCAGGGGCGCCTGGGGCCTGACAGGGGGGATACGGGGGCTGGCGGGGAAAACGGGGTGAACAGGCCAGACGGGAAGCTTAAGTCCACGCGGGTGTCCAGAGAGAGCCGGCCCTGCTTTGAAAAGGGGCGGGGGGCGGGGGGCGGGGGATGGAGGAGGGCTACCGCAAAAGCCCGACATGCTGAAGTCATTATGTAAAATCGCAGGCTTCCCCCGCTGTGGAAATTTGGAAAAGCGCTTCACTGGCAGGCCCTAGAAAGGAAATTCCCATCCCGCTAAATTACTAACAGATTGCGTGGCCGTCCCGGGACGTCGAGTTATTGTCATTTTTATTCTGTAAATATCTGCACGACCCAGACTGGCCGTGGCGGGGCCGGCGTGGGGAGGCAGAGGGACGCGCTCACCTGCCCCGGAGGACGAGCGTTTTACGGGCGCAACCGCGCGGCTCTGCGGGGGTGGGGGGGGCGAGGACGGCCCCAGCCACTTCACACTTTCCCCTTTCCCGTCTCCCCGCGTCTCTCCAGGCGCAGCTCAGATGCCAACGCGGCACCGCATTTTCTTGTGGGCTTTGGATGGAGGGGGTTGGCGGCTAAAGTGTCTGGTGTGTAGAAATCATTAATCGACAGCACGACACCCTCATGTGATACCTAAAGGCCAAAATCCTGTCTGCGGCGGGGACCAGCAGGTCCGCAGACCCCCGGGAGAGCACCGTGCCCCGTGGGTGCCCCCACAAGCGCCACTCAAGACTCGGCGGAGGCCGGGTACTGAATCGGGAGCTGCAGAACCGGGAAGGTGCGCGGCCAGAGCCGTCCAACCCCAGCCCGAGGCCTGGCTCCATTCGGCCACCCGGACTCAGCACCAATAGAACCCGCTTTTCCACCGCAGGCCTCGACCTGGAGACGCGCGCCCAGAGAAGCGGGGTGGGGGCCATTTCCCCGGATCGCTACCTGCGGGGCCCCTCGCGCGCCGAGCCAGGCCTGGCACAGCCCCGAGGCACCGGGCGTCGGGAGAGAAGGGGACCGCGCAAGGGCGCCCAGGCGGGTGGGCGGGGTGGAGGCCGGGGGAGGGGGGCTCCAGCGAGGCGGCAGCCAGGGGACGCTTGGACCGCCCTCCCCCGTCCCCCGCGCCAAACCTTCCCGCCGCGAGTCTCGGTGTCCCCAGGCCTGGAGCCAGGATTTGGCCGGGAGAGTTTCCGTCCCCCTTCTCGCCCCTCTTCTCCCCACCTCTGGGACGGGCGGGCGGAGACTCGCCGGGAGGAGGGAATCCCGGGGCCAGGTCTGGGGGACGCTCCCAGCCGGTCACGTGGGAGACGGAGCCCCCGACCCAGCCGCGGGCCTCGAGCCCGGGACCTACCAGGCCTGGCTGCTCTAGGCTCCCGAGGGGCCGGGACCGGGGCGGGGGCGGCCGCTCTTCCTCCTCCTCCCGCCCCTCCCCTTCCTCCGCTGCCTCCTCCTCCTCCTTCAATAAATACTTTTTTCACCCCTTGCAGAAAAGCTCCGTTTTCCTGTCTGCGCTGAAAGCCCTCCTTATCCCCCCGCCCGGGTGACGGAATCCCGGGTCTGTTTCTCTCTGTTTAATGCCGTTGCCGGGACCACGGTGGCCGCGCGCCAGGCGCTCGGAGTTCCGGAGGCGGCGGCCCCGAGCGCGGCCAGCTCGCCCGGCCTGTGCGCCCCGGCCCGGCCTCTGCGGCCACCGCGGGCCCCGGCTCCGCCCGCCTTGCTCCCCGCGGGCCCTGCGCCCCTTCCTCTGCCTCCTGCCTCCTCGCAGGTTTGTTTATAGCCGCTACTAGGGGAGACGTTACACGGGTTTTATTTTAGGATTGGTGATGACTAACAAAGTTAAAAGGAGCTTAGGACAGAAAACAAGACTATTTTTAGATTACTGTTGTTTCTATGGATTATTGGGGCAAATACACCCCTAGAAGCTTACCGTTTTAAAAGCTCCTTGGGGTGCCAAATCCCTTCTCCTGCAGCGCGCTTGGGTATCCATCCACCCCGTCCAGTATTTTCTGGAGACTGGGCAGTCCCTGTTGCTGGGGCTTCCTGACCTAACGTGTGAGCACCACTGCTGGGGAGACGCCATGCTGGCTGAGTGGCCCCGAAGCTCCACGCTCCATCCCGTCCCGTCTTCCGAGGGCCGGTGCCACCTGCTCTGAATGGGGCTTTCCACCCTCAGGAGCGCTCGGCACACGCGGCGCCGCGTGGGGCCCCCTGGCAGGTGCGTCGTCCAGGGGCGGGTGCGCCCACCCTTTCCTCCCTCCGCTGAACCGCAGGCCAGATGCAGCTTCCTGCTCGGGAAAATCACTTAACACGATGCAGTTCGCTGCGAATGCTTTGTTCCTGTAATTCTGCATTCTGGGCCACAGCAGCGGCCACTTTAGAGCTGCTCCCCTGAGGGCCCTTTGAGGGTCTGACTCAACTCCACCCCCTTCTTCCTGAGGCACCTTCCAACCCAGGGAAGGCCCAGGATGACCAGAGACTCCCCATCTGGAGAAATGGGCATTTATTCAGCCAGAGTCGTGGGAATTAGGATTAAATTAGCAAACCGGAATCATGGAAAGGATTATTTACTTTTAAGTAAACTGCTGAGTTTTTTTTAAGTCAGTGTGAATGAACCTCACAGCCATGGTTGGCGCTGAGAAAGGATTCCCTTCAGTTACACACCTGTGTCGGCACCTTCTGACGTTCCTTCTAAAGTCTGGGTGTTCCTGAGGATCCACAGATTTGAGGTTCAGGGTGTCTACACCACGCTGTTACTTGAGAAACATCTCTTTAACCATGTCCTGGAGTTGCCCAAGAGTTCAAGACCAGCCTGAGCAACATAGCTTCAAGACCTCATCTCTACAACAAAATAAAATAAATTAGGCAGGTGTGGTGACGTGTGCCTGTAGTCCCAGCACTCAGAAGGCTGAGCCAGGAGGATCACTTGAGCTTAGGAAGTTGGGGCTGCTGTGAGCCCTGTTCATGCCACTGCACTCCAGCCTGGAAGACAGAGCAGAAAAGAAAGGGCCAGTGAGGACCCTGGGCAGAGGGAGGGGAGGGGACTGGGGTCCGAGAGCACTTGGTGATTGACTGAATGGGGCTGGGCAGACATGATTCCAACGTCTCAGAAGGGTGAGAATGATGGGACTGGCTTCTGGGTGAGAAGGTTCCTGCTTGGCCTCTCCAGGCGGGCACGGGGAGCTGAAGGACAGCTGCCATGCTGAGCAGTTGGCCTTGATCCTGAGACCCTGCGCACACGTCTAGGGCAGGAAAGTTGACCAGTCGATTTGTGATCTGAGTTTCCAGACGTGGTGGTGCTACATGAAGTGGGCGTTCAGGCTAAGAATTTAGACAGGGAAACCAATGAAGTCCTCAGCAACACTCCAGGGAAGGCACGGGGCTGCAGAGACTCTCACAAGTAACGGCGTGGTGTAGACACCCTGAACCTCACATCTGTGGATCCTCGGGAACACCCAGACTTTACAAGGAACGTCAGAAGGTGCCGACACAGGTGTGTAACTAACGGGAAATCCTTTCTCAGCGCCAACCATGGCTGTGAGGTTCATTTACACTGACTTAAAAAAATATCGCAGCAGTTTACTTAAAAGTAAATAGCCCTTTCAGTAATTCTGCTTTGCTAATTTAATCCTTATTCCCAGACTCTGGCTGAATAAATGCCTATTTCTTGAACTCCTTGGCCCAAAAGGTCCTTGCACCTCAGCCTTCCAAAGTGCTGGGATTACAGTCCTGAGCCACTGCACCCAGCCCTGAGGCCTCCTTGAGAAGTCTGCTTGCCTCCTCCTAAGGCCCACTGTGGTTGCTGAAAGAGGCCTCTGGCCTCACCCCGCCTGTTTGTTTTACGGCATAGAACGCAACCTGTCCTGGAGAATGTTACTTGTGCCCTTGAGAAGAATGCGCACCCCGCTGTGGGTGGAGTGTGCGAGCTGCTCCTGGGGGGCCCACTGGTTTATATCATTGTTCATGTCTTCTATTTCCTGGTTATCTGCCTGGTTGTTTTATCCTCTTTTTTATTTTTGACATGGAGTCTCACTCTGTCACCCAGGCTGCAGTACAGTGGCAGAATCGCAGCTCACTGCATCCTCCGCCTCCCAGGTTCAAGCCATTCTCCTGCCTCAGCCTCCTGAGGAGCTGGGACTGCAGGTACCCACCATCACCACCAGCTAATTTTTATGTTTTTAGTAGAGACAAGGTTTCACCATGTTGGTCAGACTGATCTTGAACTCTCGGCCTCAAGTGATCCCCCCTCCTGAGCCTACCAAAGTGCTGGGATTATGGCCTGTTGTGTCCATTATTGAAAGTGGGGCATCAAAGCCCCATCCTTAGAACTTTCTCCTTCATTCTGTAGAGAGTCCCCTTTCGCAGTCATAGAACTTTCTCCCTCCTTCTGTAGCGTCCCCATTCTCTGTGGTAGAACTTTCTCCGTCCTTCTGTAGAGAGTCCCCTTTCTCAGTCGTAGAACTTTCTCCCTCCTTCTGTAGTGTCCCCATTCTCTGCTGTAGAACTTTCTCCTTCATTCTGCAGAGAGTCCCCATTCTCTGTGGTAGAACTTTCTCCGTCCTTCTGTAGAGAGTCCCCACTCTCTGTGGTAGAACTTTCTCCTGCATTCTGTAGAGAATCCCCTTTCTCAGTCATAGAACTTTCTCCCTCCTTCTGTAGTGTCCCCATTCTCTGCTGTAGAACTTTCTCCTTCATTCTGCAGAGTCCCCATTCTCTGTGATAGAACTTTCTCCCTCCTTCTGTAGAGTCCCCTTTCTCTGTGGTAGAACTTTCTCCCTCCTTCTGTAGCGTCCCCATTCTCTGCCGTAGAACTTTCTCCTTCATTCTGCAGAGTCCCCTTTCTCTGTGATAGAACTTTCTCCCTCCTTCTGTAGAGTCCCCTTTGTCTGTGGTAGAACTTTCTCCCTCCTTCTGTAGAGTCCCCTTTCTCTGTGGTAGAACTTTCTCCTGCATTCTGAACTTTGGCTTCATACATTTTGGAGTTCTCCTGTGGGCTGCACATTTGCTCATATTGCTAAGTCTTTCTCACAGATGGGTGCTGTTATCGCGGTAGACATTTGTCTTCACACAGCTGTTTTCAAGAGCCTTTCTGTCTCACGTGAGCAGCCACCCTGGCCGTCTTGAAGCTGCTCTTTGAGTGCTCTTTTCCTAGCATCTTAGTCTCTGTGTGAATCCTTGAACAGAAAGTGCGTGTTCTGCAGACGGCAGAAGGTTGGGTCCCGTTTTCTTGATTCAGTCTGACAGTCTGCTTGGTCGTTAAATCCACTCTCCATGATATAGCTGCATGGAGAGCTGCCATTTCACTTTTCATATGTCTTCCCCTCATTTATTTGCTTCCTTTTTGATTTCTTTGCATTATTTTTATTGTAGCTTTTTAAAACTTTTTCTGCTTTTGCTTTAGTGATTGCTCAACTATTTACCATACTCATCTTCACGTCAGCGTCAGATTTGTGATGGTTTAACTCCAGGGACACGCAAAACACTATCCCTACGTAGCTGCGTCCATTCCCTTCCCCCTTTTATACATTCTGCTTTTTGAACGATCACGTTACAAGCCTAAGAACACGTTGCGATAATCACTATTTTACCATCTTTCTTACTTCTTTAGCCCAGTACAGCTTCGTTCTGACTCACTTCCATCTGCTCCTGGCAACACACTCCACACAATTTCTATACGTTACAGGCTACACATTATATTTTATACACATTATTTTATACAATCACGTTCCACATCCGTTGTAAAAAGAGAAATGGCCATTTGTACTGTCTTGTAAGTGGCACTCTGTTTTCTTCATGTGATTTCAATCACTGTCAAAAGTTTCTTGCTCACTGCCTCAAGAACTTCCTTTAGGATTTTTTTGTGAGGTGGGTCTGCTAGCAACAAACTCTGTTTTTCTGAAAGTCTTTCGCCTTCAGTCTTGAAATCCAGTGCTCTGTGGAGCACTGGATTTGGGATTGACAGGTTTCCTCCCTCCGTCCTTTCCTTCCTTCCTTTCTCCCCCTCCTCCCCATTCTGCACTTCTCCTCCCCTCTGGCTCCTTTCCTTTCCTTTGGCTACCTTAGGCCACTGCCTCCTGGCTCACATAGTGGCTGCTTGGAAGTCGTATGTTCACCTTACTGGAGTTCCCTTTTAAGTGATACATTATTTTATTGTTTTGGCTTTTTAGATTTTCTCCTTATTGCTGACTCAGCATTTTATGTGTCAGTTTGTGAGTCTCTGTAGGTTTGCCCAGTTGGAGTTCAGATTCCTAGTTTGCAGGTTATTTTAAAAGACTAATTTGCAATATTCTCAACCATTTTTCCTTTAACATTTTTTCATTATCTTCCTCTCTCCTTTCCCTCTAGTGCAGCCCATGTGTGTGCATGTGCAGTGCCTCGATGGTGCCCTCCATTCTCCGGCCCGTGCCTGTGCGTCCTCGGTGACCTCAATTTGTCCCTCTGTTCTCAGGCCCGTGCCTGTGCGTCCTCGGTGACCTCAATTTGTCCCTCTGTTCTCGGGCCCGTGCCTGTGCGTCCTCGGTGACCTCACCGTATCCCTCTGTTCTCAGGCCCGTGCCTGTGCGTCCTCGGTGACCTCAATTTGTCCCTCTGTTCTCGGGCCCGTGCCTGTGCGTCCTCGGTGACCTCACCGTATCCCTCTGTTCTCAGGCCCGTGCCTGTGCGTCCTCGGTGACCTCAATTTGTCCCTCTGTTCTCGGGCCCGTGCCTGTGCGTCCTCGGTGACCTCACCGTATCCCTCTGTTCTCGGGCCCGTGCCTGTGCGTCCTCGGTGACCTCACCGTATCCATCTGTTCTAGGGCCCGTGCCTGTGCGTCTTGGTGACCTCACCGTGTCCCTCTGTTCTCGGGCCCGTGCCTGTGCGTCCTCGGTGACCTCACCGTATCCCTCTGTTCTAGGGCCCGTGCCTGTGCGTCCTCGGTGACCTCACCGTATCCCTCTGTTCTCGGGCCCGTGCCTGTGCGTCTCGGTGACCTCACCGTGTCCCTCTGTTCTCGGGCCCGTGCCTGTGCGTCCTCGGTGACCTCACCGTGTCCCTCTGTTCTCGGGCCCGTGCCTGTGCGTCCTCGGTGACCTCACCGTGTCCCTCTGTTCTCGGGCCCGTGCCTGTGCGTCCTCGGTGACCTCACCATGTCCCTCGGTTCTCCAAGCCTCTCCCTGCCTTACTCATTCTACTTGCTCTCTGTTCTGGGTTTGTCTCGTCTCCACTGATGCATCTTCAAGTCACCTTCTTTCTTCTGCCAGTTCAAATTGACCGTTGAGTCCCGACAGTGAATTACTCTCTTTGGCTATCCTGCCTTCCAGCTCCAGACTTCCTCGTGGTTCTTTTTTAAGGTTTCTGTCTATCAACAGTCTCTATGAGATGTGACGTTGTCGTCATGCCTTCTTTTACTTCTGTAATCAAGATGTGCTTTAGCTGGGAGCACATACAGGATATTTTGATGCATTTTTCCATTAAATCCATCTGGTCATTGTCCCTGGCAGTTTCTGATGTCTGCTTTTTTCTTTTTTTTAGATTTAAATGTGGGGGTCGTACTTTTGTGTTTCTTTGCTTGCTTCATGTGTTGTTGGAAACTGGGCATTTTAGACAATGTATTGTAGCAGCTCTGGATACTGGTCCCCCTGTGTGGGCTTTGGTTATTTGCTTAATTACTGGTGTAGCGACTTCTGAGGTTACTGCAGTGAAGCCTATCCCGTCCCCCACGCCCGCACTCCCACCAGCAGAGTTATGCCTCTGGCTTGCTCCTTAGGAAGAGGTGGCTTCCATGTGCCCAGCGTCACCCTGGAATGACAGGATTTTGATAGACATCTCTTCCTCTCTTTCCCTGACCACACCCAGCTGTTGAATTCCACCAGCTGCCATTGGATTGCTCTATTGTTTTCAACAATATCTGGGACAAAAATTACTCCACAAATTAATCCAGTTGTGCCTTATTTGAAGGAGAGTTTCTGATGTCCATGTTTGCTATTTGTTTGGGCCCCTGGGGTCCCCTCTCAGCTATCACATTCCTCAATCTGCATTAAGTCCTCAAATGTCCCAAATGCCTTTTATGACCACCTCCACGTTCTTGAGAGGACCCTGGGCTTTCAGCTTCCCCAGTGTTCTACTGCAAATGAAGTTGGTTCTTTTGGGAAGAGATTAGATGCCGTCTCTTTTACTCACTGCTTCTTACTCCAAGCAAAATCTCTGAGCCAACGCTCTGGGCTGGGGATGGGGACACTGTCAGCTCTGTGTGAGGGACGCCCTCCGTCTCACAGTTTGCTCTGGGCTGGGGATGGGGACTGTCAGCTCCATGTGAGGGACGCCCTCCATCTCACAGTTTGCTCTGGGCTGGGGATGGGGACTGTCAGCTCCAGGTGAAGGACGCCCTCTGTCTCTTGGAGTTGAGTGCCTGATAGGGGGGCAGCATCCTGAGATCCCATTGGCCTCAAATCACTGTCCTGTCAGCTGGGCAAGGGCAGTTGGGCTCTGTCTTCTGAGTGTGCCGCACCCAAGGCCCAGCCTCCCACCCATGAGTGGGAGCCCCCACCCCTCCGCCAGATTCCCCCAGGACCGAGTAGCCCCAGAGCAGGCAGATGGGGCAGGATGAGCAACATTGACATTCTGCCCCCCAGGGTCACTCTCCCACTCCATCTGGGAGCTGCTGGAGGGAGCCGGGGTCCTCAGCTGCCCAACTCTGGAGGGGAGGGGAGGAGGGAGTGGCTTTGGCTAAAATACCAAATACCTTCTTCACCTTTCCTATTAAAGGTGATTTGAAAATATCAGATCTTTTTCAGTGGGTATGTCTTCAGCTGCTGTTTGTCCTCAGGACCATGCCCAGAGACTTTAAATGGCTGGGGTTTGACGTCACCCGTTTCCTGGGGATGGGTTCACGGAGCACCCACCATCCAAGTCTGGATTCCAGGCCCTGGTACATCTATGGGACCCGACAGGAACAGCCTCCACCTCTCAGGGCAGGCCAATGACAGGCACCTGCTAATGGTTCAACACAGCTGAATCATTATTTCAGAACATTTTGCTGTTGTGAATTCAACTGCACCCTCCAAAAAGTATCACTGAAGTCCCTGGTCTCTGGGAATGAGACCTAATTTGGTAAGTGGGGTCTCTGCAGTTGTAGCTAGTCAAGATGGTGTCAATTAAGGGGACCCCAATTACGACCATTGCCCTCATAGGAGGGGAAGATGCAGGCAAGGGGAATGTTGTGTGGCGACAGAGGCAGATGGCTCTGCGTGCCAGGGACCGGCTGGGGTTACACGAGCTGGAAGAGGAAGCGAAGGGTGCTCGGCCATGCTGACCCTCGACTGTACCTCTGGCCTCCAGAACTGTGAGGACATGTTTCTGCCTTTCAAGCCACCTAGTGTGTGGTCATTTGTGATGGCAGCCCCAGGAACCAACCCAAAGGGCAGTGCTTTCTTTTTTTTTATTGAGATAGAGGCTTGCTCTGTCACCCAGGCTGGAGTGCCAGGGGATGATCTCAGCTCACTTCAACCTCTGCCTCCCAGGTTCAAGTGGTTCTCCTGCCCCAGCCTCCCGAGTAGAGTACTTGGGATTACAGGTGCCCACAACCACACTGGCTAGTTTTTGTATTTTTAGTAGAGACAAGGTTTCATCATATTGGTCAGGCTGGTCTGGAACTCCTGTCCTCATGTGATCCACCTGCCTTGGCCTGCTGAAGTGCTGGAATTACAGGTGTGAGCCACCACACTCAGTTGGCCGGGCAGTGGTTTCCATTCTTTTTAGGATACCAAGCCTGTCACAGTGCGCTGTGGCCTTTCCTGGAATGCATGTCCCCTCTCGGTGGCCTGGCAGCACCCACACCGCACCTGCACCTCCACCAAGATGCTCCCTTCCAGGCCAGTGCCTCGGGCGCTCCTGCTGGACAGAGCTCTCCCTGCGGATGACCTTTGCTTGAGGACCCCCACTGCCTGGTCTAACTCCAGGGGTCATGGGAATGTCCCTGCTCGCTCCTGCCACAGCCCTTGTCGGGGCACAGACCACCAAGACCAGGGAAGCTGCTGGTGCTGCCCCTCAGCTGCTGGGTGAGTCATTCTCTTCCTCTGGAGCTGGGACTGAAGGATGCCCTCCTGCCATGGAGACAGGGATTCCCCACCTTGCTTGAGCTCCCGTGTCCAGTGGGACCTGAGAACCTGCCCCTGGGGTCTTTACCTTGGTTAGGAAGTAATGTAATGTTGTATTCTGTCCCTTGCACCTGAAGGAGGCCTCATTCACAGGAGAGCTGCCGTCAACAGGGTCCTTCCTTCCTCCACAGGGTGGGGGGCACAGGGATGGGGGCAGATGAAACAGCAACTGTAGCTAGAAGGGAAGCTGGGCGAGGAGGGCGGGCCACCCTGCACAGCTGCTGCAGCCATTGGGCCTCACACACCATGCTAGGCAAGAAAACGGCCCCTTGAACCCTTCATTTCTCTCAGGAACACAAACAGGGCTGAGCTGACCCTCAACCGGTGTGCACGGTGTGGGAAGGATGCTGTGTGTGAGCTGTCCCAGGCACCAGACTCCTTCCCTGGCCCCCGAAAGCCAGCGACCACTTCACAGTGGCAGTGGTCCTGCACTTGGCTTCCTCTTAGGAAGTCGGGCACCTGTGAGGGCGGGCAGAGGCAACCTGCTTCAGAGCCTCGCCTCCTCCATTCCAAATTCTGCAGGACAGGCCTTGGCTGTCACTGGGTGTGCACCCCTCGCCGTGTGTGTGGGGGGGAGGCGGGGTGGGAGGGCCCAGAGCTGGCCCTGCTCCTCCCAGGCTGTGCCTTTTGCTAGTGCTGGCCCCTCTGTAAACACCTCCCACTTCTCCTTTCTGGCAAGTTTGGGTTTGTCCCTGTGAACTCTCCATTGTTTTTGTCTTGCAAAATAACAACAGTATTTTTCAAATGGCAAAATTCCAATGGTTTTGTTTAAACTACCCAGATCTGTTTAACTAGTAGCACCCCAAGGTCAGTTGTTTCTGCCCGACCTCCGGCAGCGATGCTCTGCTCCTCTCCCGATACCTGTGCAAAGCATTCCCAGGCGGCCTGGCCTGGCTCTGGTCCAGGCTTCCCATCACCAGGCAGATGGACGGAACCGCCCAGACGTGGGGCTGAGCCACAGCTGGAGTTCACTGAGCTCCCCAAACTGTTTTAAAAGTGTTTTGGTTCGATAAATCTCTGAACAAGTTTTGCCAAGCACTTTTTCCACTAACTTTGGAACCGGAGTGACTTTCAAGAAAACTGAATCCCAAGATCCTGGCTCACGATGCTCCGCTCCTGAAGATGGGGGCTGGGCCCTTGGGGGAAGGGAAGACTCGCTCGTCACACACGGGGTGGGGCCTTGCTGCTTCTGAGATGCAGGAAGTGGCCCCAAAGTGTGAGGGCACGTGAACCCGCAGCACCACATGAGGCACTGGAGCCCTCGACTCCGATGCACCACTGCAGGCTGGGAGCAAGGATGGGGTGGGCCGAGGGTCATCAACGCCAGGCAGAGCTGCCCAGCACCCACACCTGGGCCTTGGCTGGCTCCAAGCCTCCGACAGTCCACGTAAAACTTACCATCTTAGCCATTTTTTAAAGCGCGTTCAGGCTGTTATGCAGACATCTCCGCATCATCTCGAGCTTCCTCAGCTTCCCAGACGGACTTTCCTGCCCCCACCTGCTCTCTGTCTACACGGACCTGGTAACTCCGCGGCCTCCGATGAGAGGCCTGGCACGGGGCTTGTCCTTCTGCGCCTGCATCTTCACACCGTCAAGGTGCCCCCACAGCAGAGCCCGTGTCAGAACTCCTTCCTTGTTAAGGCTGTCACGTCCCCTGGGGATGGGCTGGGCCCCGTTCTAGGTCCCTTCTCTGTCCACAGACACTCTGGTGGCCTTTCCTTTTGGCTGCTGAGCACCGGCGGGGCGGGAAGCTCTCCAAGCCCTTTTCTGTTCTCTCCAATGGTGCGGTGACTCTGTCTGCAGCTTCCTGGGAGCCTTGGTCCTCCCAGCGCTCTCTCACATGCCCCCTTTTCATGGATGGAGCCTGGGCTCCCTGCAGGTGGCTTCACTGGGGTCGCCAGGGTGCCTCGGGATGGGGAGTGTGGCCGGGCGGCTCATGGTGAGCCCTGCATCGCAAGGTGCTGCAATAGCCACGGCAGCACAGGTGGGATGGGACAGCTCTGCAGAGACCTGGGGGGCAGGGCCACCACCTTCAGTGCCAAGAGGCCCCCAAGGCCAGAAATAAGTGGGCTGGGCAGCAAGCTGTGGCCCTGTCTCTCCCTCTGTCCCTGTCTGTCCTCTGTCTCCGTCCCTCTGTCTCTGCCCTCGGCAGGTGTGGTGTCTGGTCTCCTCTGAGGGAACCCCCTCACCACTCCTGTGTTCTCAGGCTTTCAGTACTCACAGGAGGCCAGGGTGGGAGTAGCAGGGTGCCTCCATCCTTGCCATGGCTCTGGCCTAGGCACAGAGGGTGGCTTGCAAAGGCGGCTGCAGGCGGGGATCACCCCTTCTGGCGGTGTGACTGTCTCGGGGCTGCAGAGGTGTGCAGCAGAGTGACCGGGGACCAACAGTCCATGATGTGGGTGGCTGTGGGCTCTGGGCAGCCTGCAGTGGGGCAGGCGCCTCCTCATCACTGCTGCCCCGCAGTGCTCTGAGAACACACGTGGGGCCTGTGGAGGGCCCGGAAGGGCCAAGGCAGTGAAGCCAGCCCCGGAGAGGCTGCAGCCCCACTGTGCGGCTGGAGTGACGCAGGCACAGGCCGCATAGGCCGGCCCAGGATGAGCTTTCCAACACAGGCTGTGGTTAGGCATTGGCATTTTGGGTGCCTGTGCCCGCCCGGCCCTGCAAGTCTCCCACCCCCCACAGCCAGGGAGGGTGCCACTAACCTGCCAGCAGCACCTCCCTGCCCACCCACCCCGTGAGTCAGTGTCAGGGTTGCTTGGGTCTCCCTGAGTGCTTGGCCCCCACTTGTTAGCCGGGCTATGCCGTTAGCCCTGTCTCTGCCGGCTCCCCGGCACAGCTGACCCCATGCCCCCGGTCCCCCTGCACAGTCCCCATGCTGGGCCTAGGTCCTGGTCTTCAGGTCACTGAGAGCTGAAGGCCATGTGAAGACGGCTCAGCCCAAGGCCCAGGTTCTCCCCCAGCCCGCCCTGCTCTCCTCTGGCCACAAGTCTTTTGATTCTTTTCATTTTGTCACAAATTGGAGGCCAAGGAGGGGGCCCTGTCCACAGGTGAAGGCACAAGGCACAGAGGACGCAGCAAAAATTTTCACGGGGGGGCTGGGGATGGCATCGGTCCATGTGGTTCCTAGAAACAGGCAGAGCCAGAGACAGCTAGTGAGTGTCCCTGGTGAGGGAACCATGGCAGTGACGTCCCCTACTGGCACCCTGCTCCTGTCCTGCGGACTCGATTCTCTCATCACTGGCAACTCACTCCCACCTGGACAGCCCCAGCTGGACAAGCCGAGGCTCAGGCCAGGAAGACACAGGGCAGTGGGACAAAATCAAGGTGGGGTGCTCCAGGATCCCGGCGCACCCTGGACTGGGCACTCACAGCCCCTGACCACCAGCCCTGCAGGGTCTCCACAAGCACCCGTGCCTGGAGTCGGCATCAGCATGTGGCCTGGGACCCCGTGGGCCCACACTGTCTACACAATGACCCCATTGGCTGGGGAAGTGAAGGGGGCAGTCCCAAAGCCCAGAGGTCACGCATTTTGAGAACCTGGAGCTCTCTCGGCCTCTCCTGGTGGTGTGGTCCCTGTGATTGCGCTGGACGTGCGCTGTGGGCACAGAAGCAGGCCCTTAGCTAGGAGAAGGGGCAGCATTTTCTCCCCAGCACCTACAGGCAGTGAATGTTAGGTTTACAACTTCTGAGGGACTACAACTAGACCCTTTAGGGAAAAACAGAAATGCAATGAAGAGTGTCCCCGACAGCAGACAGCGCCTGCGATGGAGGGTGGGGAGCAGCTCCTCCTTGCACCCTGAGCTCGGTTTCTGCACAGCCTGGGCCAGGGCAGCTGCAGGTGGCAGAGGTGGGGCCCACTTTTGTCTTTTCCGGGGGCTCTTGGGAAGTCGAGTTCTCATCTCCCCAGGCCTCACCAGAGGAAGAACGGGGTCTGCGGGGCCTGGGGTTTCCCTCCATGTGCAGCGTTGGCAGTGCAGCCCCTGCTTGAGGCAATCGTGAGGACTATGACATCCCCTTCCTCCAGGGCGAGAGCCCTGCTGGCTCCCCAATGTCTTCAAACACTGTGGGGTCATTGTGTCCCCTGGACATTGCCAGGGAGAAGCTGAGGCAAGCTGTGAGAAGCCCCCTCGGGACAGGAAGAATGTCTGAGGCTGACTGCTGCTGGGCCTTGGGGTGGCAAGGGGACCAGCCACTGCCGACGGTGCCCCTGCGGGTGTCCCACACGGTCTCCAGGGCAACCCAAGGATGCCAACAAGTGCTGGGACCCCAATTTGAAAACAGACTTCACCTAAAAATCCAGATTTCCGACTTCCAGCAACACCTGATCTCAGGGCCTCCCTCTCTTCCTTGACGAGACAGCGATTACTCCAAAGGCTGTGTGTCTCTTCTGGGGCGTGGTCTGTTGGGTCCGGACGCCACCGGTGCTGACCTCACCTTTCCAGATCTGGACCCCAGCGCTTCTGTTCACATGTTGGGTCACAGCCAGGGCGACGTCCACCCCCAGGGCCGACCAGCTCAGCGCCCGGAGCCTTCCGGACCCAGAACTCTCAGAAACCTGGTAGAGGTGGGGCTGGAGGTTTCTGGGTTCCCTTCCAGGCCCACATGCACAGGACAATCCATTGTGGAAAATGCTGTCACCAGCAGTGAGCACTTAGGACTCAGGAGAACCAGCTGGAGGACCCCCGTCCTCCTGGGCTTCTGCTTGGCCCTGGGGCCCACCCTAGGGGCTCACGGGCACCTGGGATGGATGCAGGGAGCTCAGGCTCCCCTGAAACCCTCCACGGGGGACATGCTTCCCATTCAGACACAAGTAGATGCCGCCTGTGTACAAGTGCCCATGGGACGAGAGGGAACTCTTCAGCTAGACCAAAATAGCCTTCCTGGGGACCCAGTTTCAGGGTTCGCTTGCTGGGGCTCAACAGGACACCATATTCAGAGGAATTCCCAAGCCATCGGTTTCTCTAACCCCCAAAATCCTGGAGCCGGAGTTGGGATGTCTGCCCAGGTGGCCTCGAAGGTGCCATTTCTTGGCTTCTGGCTCCCCCTTGTGGAACAGTCTGAAATTACACCCACCTGCAGCAGCAGGACCACGGACGGCCCAGACGTCCGCGCCAGGGAAGCCGGTGAGGTGGGGGGGCTGCTGTGGTTTCCGAAACTTACCTGGAGGTCTCCAGGATAAGGCATATCTCTGTAAAGCAACACACAGGCCCGAGGGTGGCGCCCAGAGGCGGAGTCTGGCCCTGTGCAGGGAGCTTGGGGGGTGGGGTGCTCCTGGGTGGGACAGAGGGGCTTGCCCAGCTGTGACAGGGAGGCCCTTGGAGGCGCTGACCCCAGTGGAGGGTGCACCTGGGTCTAACCCCGGGTCGTCCCCAGAGCCCAGAGGCTTGTTCCCTCTACTCTGTCACGGCCTTGCTGCAGTTTCCCTGCAGGGTCCTCTCAGAGGAGAGGAAAGCACAGGTGACCATCACGGGCACAGGCTCACAGGCCCTGGGAACGCAGCATGGGCCTCAACGCTTGGCCGTTACCTGGAATCGGATGAGACTTGGAGAGCAGTGGCAAATCCTTGCCCACTGTTCCTGGCGCCACCCCAGAGCACCAGGCCCCGTCTCGGGCCTGATCGTGAGCCGCTCTGATGACAGGCTTTGCTCTTATCTTCCTGGCCTCGGCTTCAACCTCCCCGGTCCAAGGAGTCCCATGAGGCAGCCGGCCCCGCTGGTTCCTCCACAGCACGTACCTCCCTGTGACCAGCTCTTCTGGCCGCGGACAGGGCCGTGGGGAATCACGCTTTTACATGTAAACCTGGATTTTCGGAGCCAGAGGAGCACTGCACGCTGGGGGCGCTGCCCATCAGGGACAGAAGGAATGGTCCCTCCTCACGGAGCACCACCCACTGCACACACGCAGAGTGCTCTTCCTAGGCCTCTGTGGCTACAGGTCTGCTCAAAATGTCTAGGGCTGAGCCGGGTCCAGAACCTCAAAGGCAATGAGGACATGCCACAAGGCTGCTGGAAACATGCCGTCCGATGCTGACCCCAGCCGGCTCCTGAACTGGGGCTGGAACCAGGTCTCAAGTCCATCTAAGGACCCTTTGTTCGGCGATGATTTTCTTCAGTCTAGCAGAGAGAATCCGTGCCACAGACCCCGTTCTGACCCCTTGCTGCGTACCAACGTCTGCCAGAAACCTGTTCATTTAACCCTCGCGGCAGCAGCCTGAGGTGGGGACGGTTTCGTTGACAGAGGAAAAGCCCTTCCTCCTCCAGGCTCCACCTGCCCTGAACACATCTCCATCTCTTGACATGGATCTTCAGCTGTCCCCAGTCAGGAACCATCTGATCTAAGCCTGGTCGTTTCTATCTTTGAAAGCTGTAGGCTCCGGGGTTCAGCTTTTCCGAGGTTATCTACAATGTTATTATTCTATTAGTTTCACAGGTGGGTGGTTTATTTTTCAAGGTGCAGGGGAGGAAGGTGGAGGGGAGCAGCCTCTGATTTGTACTTGGCCTCCACCCCCAGGCCTGAGTGTGTGACCCCATCTCCCGGGTTGCTGGCTATGGGCTACAGATTTCTACCGGCCCAACGCCCCTCACGCAAACTGCTCCGGCAGAAGCAAAAAAGACACGTGAAAACCAAGCCAGCCCCAGCCAGGAAGTGACTTCAGGGTGACCCCGACTCGGTGCGCAGAAGGGAAAATCCCAGGCAGCCTCCGCCAGGACCAGACACGTCCAGATTACTGAGCGGACACCAGCGACACCTTGTGGGGACGCAGGAAATCGCGTCCTCATAGAGCCAGGCCCGCCTGGAAACTCAGAATGTTCAAGCACAGATGAGCCGCTGAGGAGCTCCATTCAAAGGTGCTGATGACGGGTATGGGGAAAAAAAGCAGCTTTATTGCTTTCTTGGGGGCGAAAAAAGCTGTGGGGGATGGTGGGTGGGTGTGGGGCAGCCCCTTAGCTGGTTGGTGAAACTCCCCTGGGGCCCCAGGCACACAGCTCAGCCAGGATTCAGGCGCTGGGGCCCACCTTGACAAGAAGCAACGCTGTAGAACATGAAGACATGAAATTCCCGGCACAGAGACTGTGGCGCCCAGAAAACACGGAGGAGCTCTCCTGTGAGACAGAGACCTCCAGGCACAGGTGCTGCTGCAGGTGACGGCACACACACAGCTTTCCAGGAGCACCCCCGGTGAAGGACACAGCAGAGAAAACTAATGCCTGGCCCAGAGGCCTTCCAAACCTCACAGAAGCATGGGGTCGGGCTGAGACCAGAGGCTTTCCACAGGCTTTCTCCATCAGGGCATGCTCTCGGCCACGCCAACGAGGAAACCTGTTCCAGGAGGCTGGGCCCTCTTAGGGGAAGTGAGCTTCACAGGGCAGCTGCTTCTACATCTAGAAATGGTGCTCGAGTGGGGTTTTACGAATCTGAAAAGGACAGGAAAGGCCTGTGGTGGCAGAAGCCTCTGGGCGAGGATTTCCTGGGGGCTGCAATGGAGTGATGCTTGGAAACGCGTTTGTACCATGTGCCTAGAGTGTGTGAGAAAGCTCTGTGTGAGGAGTCAGTAACATGAGTGTCTCTGCTGAGGAAATGCGAGTATAAAGCGAGCGTGTCTTAGCCAAGGGCAGCCCGTCTGAGCCAGAGCTGCAGCTCATGTGGACACGGGCTTCGTGGAGCCTCCTTTTTATTCCATTTGAGCAGGAATGACTTTGTTTTAACATCAAAGAAAGAATGTGAATGTTAGGGAATTGCAGACATTAAACTTCCATTCTAACCCTCAGAATGCCGGAGGAAGACAAACCTTTCAAAGTAAGAGTGAAATAATTAGGGCTCGTTTTCAGTAGAAACAAGCTGCTTCAATATAGAAATAAAATTTTGAGAAACAATACAAAAGAAAAACGCAAGCAGGGGTGAAGACCGGCTCTGAGAGGGAGCACCTGTCCCAGCATCTGGGCCCTGGGCTCGCCTGGCAGGGGGGACACCCCATACTGAGATGAGAGAGCCCGTCCCAGCCTCTGGGCTCGCCTGGCAGGGGTGATGCCCCACACTGAGAGGGAGAGCCCGTCCCAGCACCCGTGGGCTGGGCTCGCCCAGCGTGCCCTCCCTTTCTTGCGGCACTCGCTTAGTAGCAATTGCAAACGCTCTGATCACTGGAAAGGGCGGTGGTGCCGCGGCCAGCCTGCTGGGGGTGCACGGCCCCTTACGAGGTCAGCTTGCAGTAGCTGGGAGGAGAGAGCTTGCGCCTCAGGTACTTGAGGACATAGAGTGGGAGGCAGCTGACTACGGTGATGGCCGACACTTTCCACAGGAAGGTCACAGTGGTGATAAAGGTAAAATCTGTTGGCAGGAAACAGAGAAAAAGGTAAGAGCCAACCAAGAAGCCCTGGGCCCTCATGGCCACAGCCACAGACCTGATCAGGCCACTGGGCAGTCCCTTCAGCCTGCATGAAAGCATCACTGTGCTTTAGAGGGCCAGGCCTGGTGTCCAACCTCAGGTTCGTCCTGACTGTAGAATTGTCTCCCCTGCAGACTAGGCATAATGCACTCTTTTAATGGAAAAAACAGAACCATAGCATTATAAAGCCATTGCAGCCTGAGCACCGTGGCTCATGCCAGCACTTTGGGAGGCCGAGGCAGACGGATCACTTGAGGTCAGGAGTTTGAGACCAGCCTGGCCAACATGGTGAAACCCCATCTCTACTAAAAATACAAAAAAAAAAAAAAATTGGCTGGGTGTGGTGGTGTGCATCTGTCATCCCGGCTACTGGGGAGGCGGAGGCAGGAGAATCATTTGAACCTGGGTGGCGGAGGTTGCAGTAAGCTGAGATCATGCCATCGCACTCCAGCCTGGGTAACAAGAGTGAGACTCTGTCCCCCCCAAAAAAGGCTGCAGATGACTAATTAATCACCAAATACCACTAACTGGGTAGACAACATTCTGTGGCAGAATTTTCCAAGGCACCAAAGTGCCAGCTGTGGTGCCAACTCACCTAACCTCCACGGTTTGTTCGGCCATCTAGGCTGGCCTTTCTTTTAAGGTAGAGCTGACTTTATGGGTGGCTCAGTGGTGCCAACTCACCTAACCTCCACGGTTTGCTCGGCCGTCTAGGCTGGCCTTTCTTTTAAGGTAGAGCTGACTTTATGGGTGGCTCAGTGGTGCCAACTCACCTAACCTCCACGGTTTGTTCGGCCGTCTAGGCTGGCCTTTCTTTTAAGGTAGAGCTGACTTTATGGGTGGCTCAGTGGTGCCAACTCACCTAAGCTCCACGGTTTGTTCGGCCGTCTAGGCTGGCCTTTCTTTTAAGGTAGAGCTGACTTTATGGGTGGCTCAGGGTATTTGCAACAGAAATCCTCAGACCAGTCTGCTCTTAAAGGCCCTTGGCCCGGCCATCCAGAATGTCCTGACCCCTCACCTCCCAAATCTTCCCAGAAGAACCCGTGTGCTTGTCACACCCAAGTTGTGCTGGTGAGGACCAGGCTACTGAAATTCCTCATGGGAAGAGGCATGTGAGAAATGGGATGTGCACACAGTTCGAGTCTACAGAGGGTGGAGAGCCCTTTAGATTGTTCCAGAAGATGGAGAAACAGATTTACGGAGCAGAGTCAGAGGCTGTGCAGAAGTAAACGGAGGGAAACGCTGGCTCTCTGAGGGCGGGTCAGAGCCACGAAGGGGACGGCAGACGCTTGTGCTGACTCATTTCCTGAAGACCCTGACGGTGCTTTCCAGGAGCTCAGCCACTACAGCCGCAAAGTCAAACACATTTTAGGGGCTCATGCAATCCTCAGCAGATGGCAGGGTGCCCTGGCCCTCCCTCACTCAGGTAAGCCAGCTGCACCTCGGCCCTCGACCAGCAGAGCAGGAACATGCCACCTGCTCCTGTGACATCAGATAGTGTGTGAGGAGCAGTGGGTTAGAGGAGGGGTTACTTTTATTATTAGTTAAGTCTCTTTATCCATATTGTTTGGCCACATTTCTCTACTTAGAAAGAAATGATAGCTTTACCTACCTATGAAAGCTCCGAAAGATACTCTGCCTATACCTGTTCCAAAACAGGAACAAAGAAAATAAAGGACAGATTAAAGGAGATGCCAGGACATTTCAAGGCGTTAGCAAACAAATCAATACATTAGAAAGCAATAGAGCGGCAGAGCGAGAAACGTGCTCAGTGTGGCTTTAGCCTCTCATTTGGCTGCCTGTTAGCACACAACTTTCTAAACATTGCTGAGACACAACAGCGAGTTTACTGCGAGTGAAAGCACACGCTGTGGCAGTCCCTGGGAGCCAGAGACCTGTGCAGGTCTCAGTGGAGCTCGGCGCACAGGCTGGAGGACTCGCCGTGCTCCGCAGGTACGAGGAGCCCCGTACCTTCCATGCACATGCGTGTGCGCGTTTCTACTCATCTTCAGACCAGCCCCAACGGCAGTGATGCCGTCTCCTGTTTGCAGATGCAAAAGCTGAGGCTGAGGCGAGGAGTCCTGCCCACGCCCACGGCACGTGTCTGTGTCATTTTGTTACCTCACTACAGCATGTGGTGTGTTAATGCGACCCTGAGTACGTTAATTCATGATCATACAGGAAAATATTCTAAAAGCTTATTTTCAGAAGAAAAATAACTAGGACATTATAATATGAAAATAATCATTTCTTATGAGCCAGGGGTATTTTTTGAGAGTTTTTTACATAAGAACAGGAACATTTCATGTTTTCCTACCTACAGGTTCACCACTGCACGGACACTCAGGCACTGAGGCCAGAACTGCACACGTGGCTCTGTTCACTCCCACAGGTCTGACGGGGACTCCTGAGGGGCCGTGCTGCTCATGTGGGCGGGGGCCGGCCAGTGACTGACAGGACACAGCATCTCATATGGGGCGTGGGGGGAGTCAGCCAGTGACTGACGGGACACAGCGTCTCATGTTGGGGGGAGCCGGCCAGTGACTGACGGGACACAGTGTCTCATATGGGGCGTGGGGGGAGCTGGCCAGTGACTGACAGGACACAGTGCCTCATATGGGGCGTGGGGGGAGCCGGCCAGTGACTGACGGGACACAGTGTCTCATATGGGGCGTGGGGGGAGCCGGCCAGTGACTGACGGGACACAGTGTCTCATATGGGGCGTGGGGGGAGCCGGCCAGTGACTGACGGACACAGCGTCTCATATGGGGCGTGGGGGGAGCCAGCCAGTGACTGACGGGACACAGCGCCTCATGTTGGGGGGAGCCGGCCAGTGACCGACGGGACACAGCGCCTTCATCCATGGTGCATGGACGGTAAGAGCAGGCACTTTCTGATAAGGGTTTTACCATATTCCAAAATTTAAGACAACGTATTCAGAAGTAACAATAAAAAAAAGCTTCAAAATCATGAATAGACGACAATTCAAAAAATAATTCCAAGGCAACTTACCAAAATATTCATTGAGAAAAGCGAGTGAGGACACATAGCAGCCCAGACTGAGGAACTCGGCCACCACCATCAACCAGTGCCATGTGCGGATGGTCAGCGCCACCATCAGCAGCTCGGTCAGCACCAGCGCGGTGAAGGAGATGGCCACCACGTGGACGAACTCGGACTCGAAGAGCACCAGGGCCCCGTACATGAGGATGCCACCTGAAAAACACAGGAAAGTTTCCCATGACGCGTGAGCACGGCATGAGCCCAGCATGAGCCAGCTAGAGAAACAGACTGGAAACACCAGCCTCACTGAGAACCCTTAAAAATAGGGGACAGGGCCGGGTGCGGTGGCTCAAGCCTGTAATCCCAGCACTTTGGGAGGCTGAGGCGGGTAGATCACGAGGTCAAGAGATCGAGACCATCCTGGTTAACATGGTGAAACCCCGTCTCTACTAAAGATACAAAAAATTAGCTGGGCATGGTGGTGTGTGCCTGTAATCCCAGCTACTCGGGAGGCTGAGGCAGGAGAATTGCCTGAACCCAGGAGGCGGAGGTTGCGGTGAGCCGAGATCGCACCATTGCACTCCAGCCTGGGTAACAAGAGTGAAACTCCATCTCAAAAAAAAAAAGGGGGGACAGACCGGGTGCGGCGGCTCACACCTGGCATCCCAGCACTTGGGGAGGCCAAGGCAGGCAGATCATGAGGTTAGGAGTTCGAGACCAGTCTGGCCAATGTCGTGAAATTCCATCACTATTAAAGATACGAAAAAGTTAGCTGTGCATGGTGGCATGTGCCTGTGATCCCAGCTACTCAGGAGGCTGAGGCAGGAGACTCGCTTGAACCCGGGAGGCGGAGGTTGTGGTGAGCTGAGATCGTGCCACTGTACTGCAGTCTGGGCAACAGGGCGAAACGCTGTCTCAAAGAAAAAAGAAAAATGGGGGATAACGCCTATGCCCATACTGGATGCTGATGAACAAGTCATCGCTATAACTGGATTATGGACAAAATAAGACAGGTCCTAGCTAGGCTCGTTAGAAATGTCAAGTAGAGGCTGAGAAATGTTTCGATGTCTGGATACCATTGTTCAGGGCACACAATGCGGTAAGTGCTTGTTACAATGTTTCTGGATTAACATTTAATTAAAAACAAGTCAGTTTTCAGGTGACACGCGTCAGTGAAAAAGAGAGTCCACATTGCTGGAATATTCACTGACACGATAAACACAAGGCAGCATTTCACTGCTGATGACGTTCTAAGCCACTGGAACTGAATTTGGAAGTAAAAACAATATTGCTAAAAGATCAAAATTAAGAGTTTTGAGTCCAGTAAACTAAGGATCCCGTCTTACCTTGGTAAATACTGATCAACACCCAGATGAGGAAGGTCTTGAAGGACAAGGATCTTCCCTAGGGGGACAGCGAAGAGCGCAGTTAGTACCAGAACCACACGCTCGACTCGCGTCTTCCAGGAGTGAGGTGCGGGTCACCTCTGAAAGGCCCGGGTCCGAAGCCCTATCCATGCCGTCCCAGCCACGGGCCCACCAGCATCTCAGGGCACCTTCCCGACACCCGAATCCTCAAGAAGTGTCCACTGGTGCCCATCTGAGGTTGGAGGCTTATGCTCTCTTCCGGCTGAGCTGCGTCTTGTTCCACGTTTAAGCCGCAGCTCCAGTGAGCCGGGAGTGAGGTATGTAAGCAAACATTTCAACCAACCGGGGGAAAGGCTGTTGACAATAAAAACATTTTCCCTTATTTCCTGTGAACAAGTATTTCTATATTTACTGTTTTCTTCAGATCAAAAGATACAAAAGGCAACAGCTCTTCAGTAAACATGGCACATCTCAACTGAAGTAAAAAATTATCCCTTAAGCCCTTTCTGGAGAATGTGTCACACATATAACCCCAGGTGGATGGAACGGGTCCTCACACCAGGCCCTTCACTCTGCAGAACTGAAGGCAGGAGACAAGGGGACGGAGGCAGGGGAGCTCTGGGGGGGCTGGAGGAAGGGGAGTCTGGGGGGCCGAAGGCAGGGGAGCTCTGGGCCACAGGCTTGCTTGTCCCACTACACCCCTGAAGATATTAGAGTCCGAGAAGAGAGGCTGAGTCACTCACAGCCCCTACTCGTCAGTGCCCAGGAACTGTCAGGTGGCACGTCGAGAGGCCTTGTCTTCATGAAAGCCTCCACTTACTTGGTGCCTTTGCAACTACTTTCTCACACAGCCCAGCCTCTCAGTGACACCGAGCAGATGCTGTTTCCATTTACAGACGAGGAAACTCGAGGAGTTCCGTGATTTCCTCAGGTTCTCACTGGAGGCTGGCAGTGCTAGGAAGTACAGCCTGCTGACCAGAGCCCAGAGTCCTGCCCTGACTTAGGGCTGTCCCACCCACGGGGCACAGGGAGTGCTTTAAAGAAGCAGAGGAAAGATGGACCCTCATGGACACTCAGGGGACACAGAGGAGAGCAAGGAAGATGGTGGACGGTGGCAGGCAGTGCTCAGGGCCCATCTGAACCCGCACCTGCCCGAGTCTGCTGAAGACCTTTACACACAGGCTGAGCCGCATAGAACAGAGGCGTGGACTGGAACTGTGGCTCTGTTCCCGCAGGAGCCCAGCAGGGGCAGACTGACCAACTGTAATGCTAGTGGTAGTTTAATTATAATTATAAAAGACAAGTATGTGACAAATATATTTAAGTATTTCCTAGGCTGCAAGAGTTACTGTGTGTAAAAGCTGACGGAGCCCCAGACCTTACCATATGTGAATATCAAAAGTAAGATTCAAACACACTGTGATTTATTATAAAGCACCTACTGATTTTTAAAAAGCAGAAAACTTTGAATTGAAACATTTACGTACTCTAAATAGGTTCTCTCGGCATACACACTCCGGAGGACATCTCTCTCCCTGGATAATGGGGGTGTTTGGTCTCTGGTCATGAAATTCATTTGTATTTAAGTACAAGGCTCATTTTATTCAAAAACTTTAAAAGGAAATTTAATTATTTTGACATAAGAAACAACGATCTGCTGAAATGTACTGTTTTATTCATGTGAGACGATGGCCAGGTCCATGTGTAAAGGTGGAAAGGCACTCAGTTTTATTCATGTGAGACGATGGCCAGGTCCATGTGTAAAGGTGGAAAGGCACTCAGTGTTATTCATGTGAGACGGCGGCCAGGTCCATGTGTAAAGGTGGAAAGGCACTCAGTTTTATTCATGTGAGACGATGGCCAGGTCCATGTGTAAAGGTGGAAAGGCACTCAGTGTTATTCATGTGGGACGGCGGCCAGGTCCATTTGTAAAGGTGGAAAGGCAGAGCTGCATCTGCGTGGCTTCTCTCAAGAGGAACTGCTAACAGGGAGACAGCACATGAGACCTGCCCCGCCAGGTGCCCCGTGTCAAAGCAGACGATAGTACAGATTAATACAAGGAAGCACAACAGGACGGGTACAAAAGACACCAATAAAATAGATCATTTGAGAAAAATACGCGCACACCTCCTGTTAATGGCTCCCAGACTATAGCTCTGAGAACAAAATCCGGTTACATTTGATGGGACAGAGACGTGTTACTCATAGATGCGATTCATTCACTGTGGGTTTCATGCTATGGACGAAGCATAGCATGAAAGCAGACACTCCATGGAGACACAGACTCTTCCTGGCCAGGTACCTTTCCATCTGGTTTTAGGAAGAGGACGACGTCTGTCACTCTGGCTGAGGTCCCTGTATGATGGAATGCCTGGAGCTGAGTCCTGCCTAGCACACGCTTTCCCATGGTGTCCTCTGGCTCAGGACTGAATTTGTCAGTCTCCTCTCTGTGAAATAGAAATTATAGTGGCACCTGGCTCACATGCATGAAATAAAATGAGCCACGAAAGAAAATATGCACAAAGCTGAAAAATAGTAAATATTCAGTGAATGCTATTGTTATATTTACCAATTAAATATTGCAGATTCAGAAAATAATTTCTATTGTACCAAAAAATGTAAAAAATAAAATGAAGGCCAGGCGCAGTGGCTCAAGCCTATAATCCCAGCATTTTGGGAGGCCGAGGTGGGTGGATCATGAGGTCAAGAGATCGAGACCATCCTGGTCAACATGGTGAAACCCCGTCTCTACTAAAAATACAAAAAATTAGCAGGTCATGGTGGCTGGTGCCTGTAATCCCAGCTACTCGGGAGGCTGAGGCAGGAGAATTGCCTGAACCCAGGAGGTGGAGGTTGCGGTGAGCCGAGATCATGCCATTGCACTCCAGCCTGGGTAACAAGAGCAAAACTCTGTCTCAAAAAAATAAAAAAAAATAAAATGAAGCAAAAATTTTATTTATTTATTTTTTTTCTGAGACAGAGTCTCACTCTTTTCGCCCGGGCTGGAGTGCAGTGGCATGATCTCAGCTCACCGCAACCTTTGTCTCCTGGGTTCAAGTGATTCTCCTGCCTCAGCCTCCCGAGTAGCTGGGATTACAGGCACCAGCCACCATGACCTGCTAATTTTTGCACTTTGAGTAGAGATGAGGTTTCTCCATGTTGGTCAGGCTGGTCTCGAACTCCTGACCTCAAGTGATCCACCTGCCTCGGCCTCCCAAATTGCTGGGATTACAGGCAGGCGTGAGCCACTGTGCCCGGCTGAATCTGGCGAAGTTTAAGGAACGATTAATCTACCTCAAAGTCGTATGCGTGCAGTTATTCATATGAAAGCGCTCAGTGCTGCAGTGGACAAGCACGCTGATGCGTGCGTGGCATGAGATGGGGTCCGTCTGTGTGGGTCGGCACGACGGGACAAGACCAGCCACTCCAAAATGCAGGACTTCTGTCTTGAGTCTGTAACCACTTTTCTCACTATTATAATTTATTCTCCCAGCCTTCCTCCTCCATGCAGTTTCTCTGATTCCTACTAGAACAAAAAAAAATAATTTTCTCGTATTCCTGTAATTGTAATCACTCGAGGGAAGTTTGGGAGCATGGAGTAGAAAGATCCTACGGGCAAGCAGAAGAGGAGAAACAGATGCGGCCCAGCAGAAGTACAAACCCTCCAAAAGGGAGGCCGGGAGAGAAGCCCCATTTACCGGGCTCTGCATGCGCCCCCGGCCTTGGCAGGAAGGGAGGCTGGGGAGGAAGTGCCGGCTTCCTGCCATGTACTGCCGGCCTGCTCTGCTCCTGAGAGCGCAAAGGATGGAGGGTGCTGGCAGTGGTCCCGCAGCAAAGGGCAGGCAGGCAATGTGCCCGACAGCTCTTCTGCTTGCTGGGCTCACTCCACTGTCACTTTTATTTCTTCTATTAATGGTCTCAAATTATGGTGACTGATTTCTTAAAGGTCTCATTCCTTCATTCTTAGGTGGATAAGCTCAATGTCATTAAGTGCAAGTGTTAGAAAGTCACCGGACAGGTTAGACGAGAGCCTCCGAGCAGACAGCGTGCGCCTAAAGGGGGCTTGCTGCTGCGGACTGGCAGCATCTGGGCCAGGGCCAGGTGCAGACATGGGCTATGTAAACTCCCTACACTGTGAAGGCCAAGACTGCAGCTTTGTAAACACAATTCTGTGTCTGTAGAGACAGAGTCTTGATCTACTGCATTCACAGCTCACTGCAGCCTTGACCGTCCTGGCTCAGCTGGAACCACAGGCACATGCTGCCATGTCGATTCTGTTCATCTGTTCTAGGAAAATCGAAAACTTTCTCTGCTTTGACTTCATATTTTAACCATTTTGCCTTGAGATCACTTTTTTTTCCCAGGGAAGCTGTGGGAGCAGCGCAGATAGCCCCACGGCACCATCCAACCCACGTGGGGCGACACTCCACGGAGACAGACTCGCACTGGGAAGGGAAATGGTGCAGAGGTCCCGGTTTTTCTCAAATGCGCTTTTCCTGCCCAGGGCCCCACACAAGATCCCACGCTGCCCTGGCCATCATGTCTCCTGGGTGCTGCCATCTGGCCATCACCTCTGTCTCCTTGCCTTTAGTGACCTGGCTGCTCCTCAAAGCTCCAGACGGTGTCTTTGTGGAAGGCCCCTGATTTGGATTTGTTCTTCTAGTGATGACACTATGGGGAGCATTTGTTGAGGGGACGCATGCCCCCACCGGGATAGACACCAGGAGGCATGGTGGCCTTTGTCTCATCCCTGGAGATGGGAACTGTGTCTCATCCCTGGGTTCTGTGTCTCTTAAGACCTTGTGACAATGCTGGCCTGGGTGCCCCCACGGGGTGTTGGACAGCCCTATCACATTTATAACTGGAATCCATTGTGAGGTGGTGCTTTCTCTGCTTATCCACAGTGGAGCTGAAGACACCTGCTGTGCTCTCTGGTTATCATCTCGTCACGCTGCTGTTTGGCTGTCATGCAGGGTGCTTGGTGCTGGCCCTGGGAGGGCTCTGCCTCTGGCGCCATCTGCCCTGCCTCCCGCAGCA